GATTTGGAATTACTGGGCATCCAATCCGTATATGGAATTCGTAATTGGAACCAGAACTGGGTTTCACACTTCGTGAGCCTTGCTACCGATCGACACACATGGGCGGGCATCTTTAGAGATATCCAGAAAGCCGACTTATCCTCTCACAGGATTTAATCGATCAAAAGTAAAAGTAAATATAATCATTGGTCGATTCTTCAATGTCCAATCGAAAACGATGTGGTTCATTTGGTTGCCTTCTTGAATTCGGCCAATCCGGTTGGTGCCACTTGAGACCACAGGATTGGTCGGTAAATCTGTTTCCTGATTGGCTCCCGAGAAGTTGTTCCGTGGTGCGTGCCTACTCGTTGCACGATCACCACAGTCTGGCTCGCTGTTCACGTCCAGTGCTGAATGTGAGTGATACCACGCAAAGGAAAGCTTTGCTCAAACAAAATGCAAGCAAGATATAATCGAGTGACCGATTCATGGAATTCATTCAATACACCCCCAATTAGTAAAAGTGGATCTGGACACATTTCCGCACACCTCGAACATATGTGGGGGCATCAAAATAAATTCACTCTGGTAGGATCGATTTCAAACCCGATAGCTTTATTCTCTGCAGTAATATGCTGGTCCGATTCCGGCCCAGTGAGCAGGTCAACTCAGTTAGTGTTAGTCTTCATTACTCCCTGATTTGAACTGAATAAAAAGTCCGAATAAGCTTGTGGACATTTTCATATTCACAGAAATTACGAGGATGAATCACAACACACCCAGTTTACAGATAGGGATCGATAATCGAACACGATTGGCTACAGCAATATCTATGCGGTTTCGAGGAGTCGAGGAGGAACAAGGGTAAGTTGGCTAAAAACTGCTCACGTGTTGTGAAAAATGGTAAACCCCATGCGCTTCCCTGAAAACATTTATTCTCATAGATTTTGTACTGATGCAACGTCAATCTTTTTGCACAAGCGACTGCAATTCATGCGGTTGAGACTAAACTCAGGATGCATGCAGATCCGTTCAAACAGAGCAGAAATCTCATATAATAGAAAAACAACGAAAAGTATAAATTGGAGGTTGGTAGAGGACACATAACTTTTCACAATAAGACTTAGATTTTTACAAAGAAAAACACCGTTATTTGCTTGTTATATCTCTAGGTGTTTGCATTGCAGCCAAAATCACGATATTTCCACGGTTCCATCACGGTGAGGCCAGAGAAACCGCGTCAAGATGGCCGAGCGGTCTAAGGCGCTGCGTTTAGGTCGCAGTCCACTCCGTGGGCATGGTTTCGATTCCCACTTCTGACATTTCGTTTGGCGATGGTGGCCAAGGAGTTAGGTCACCAACTTGTGACCTGGGTGTCCCGGGTTCGAACCGCACCACCACTGCCCGTCTTCCCTAATTCTGTATTTTCCAGGCAGCTTTTGCATGGTCGCGGCCTCCCTTCCTGAATGTTGACTGTACATTATTTGTATAGTAAATAAATAAAAAAGAAGTAAGATGACATTCATAAGTCAGCCCCGTCCCACCCTCGATCCACCGGCCTCCTGCTCAGTCTGAGATGACCGAATTCCTTCTATCAAGTATTACTGCTCAAAGACGCTTGTCAAAATGTGTGGCTTCCCTCGGTACGTGTTCCAGGTGGCCAATTATTTTTATCAGTCCATTTATTCCTTTGCATTACTTGAGAACATGAGTTCATCTGACAGGTTTAACCGTTACACTTTTCTTTTGAAGACACTGACCTATAGATTTTCGAGTGCCAGCCAGGTTCATACGTCGTAATTTGCGAATTCGTACAGCAGCGGCAAACCCGCCCGCCCACCGCCCGCTCCCGCTGAAGCTCTCAGTCACCTGTGAACAACCTCTTGGACGGTAAATGTATACATTCGTGTTGTATGATGCAGGTCCGGATTCGAACCGTACAGATGGGGCAGATATCGGCTAACAAGTGGGACTCGGTCGCGCAGTAATTCCAATGCATTTAAATAGTATGTAACTGAAAGGTTGACGTTTCATGAAGGAAAATTTACCAATTATTCGATCGCTAATCACTAAAATCATGTTACCGGTTCCCTTTAACATTTTCACAAGAGCAACAAGAAGAAGCATCACAATCACGGAATGTGTTGAATTCAATCAACTATTTGGTGATAATCTCATCAGCTCTGTACATACATTCCAGATCGTGTTTGGTTAAAAAAGTGACAGGTTTCGGGAACAGGCGAACACATATGGGGAAGATTAATCAATCAATCGATACGAATGCTAAAGGTCATTAATGAGAACCGGATTGGGCATTGGGGTAGGAAGCTTAATCGCCGCTGGATGGGAGAAGGACAGTGACACTTACCAAGGCATTTCGAGACTGGCCACGAATTCGGTCTGTTTACATAAATCGGGCTTGTAACGTCGACTGACAGCTACCTCAGCGAACGGTGGTAGTAGCCAACTACCTTTCTAGCAGATCAAGATACGAAAGGCGTCCCTAGGTTTTTCACATTCTTTGCAATCCATTATATGTCGAGCGATTGAACTGGACGGAAGCTTGGACCCGTTAGAGACAACAAATTCTTCAACGCATGCTATCCTGATAGAAAATCGTCTAACAGTTCTTCTGACGTACTTGCTACCGCAAGCACAATGAAATAAATAAACACAGGAGAAAGTAACTGAAGGATCGGGTTTGTCTATAGATTGGATTCAATGAGCATTTGCTTCGTGTCGTGCAGTATTTATTATAAGGGAGTCAACAACATTATACATCCCTTCACTCGCTTGTGAAATAGTTGAATTCAACACATCATGTGATCATGATACTCCTTCTTGCTCTCATGTGAATAACTATCATTGGAGACTTTTATGATATCTTAATGTGAATGAATATGAAATGAATGAATACGGGTAAGTACACATGGTTCAGTAGAAAAATTCTTTAAAGAAAAATAATATAGTTTTATCAAAAATAAAACACAAGATTGTCACGCTACATCCGACAATTTCACACCTGTGCTGGATAAACACAGAAAGTGTGTTACCTTAGTTACACGTCTGTTTGTAGAATTGTACTGTTTAGTGAACAAATGTTAAATGAAGGACAACTTATTAATGACAATTGGTTTTAACTCTGTCCGACCAATCAATTTGATTATTCACATGTTCCACGTTCTACTCCCCTGATTCGTCACCCTTGCACTTTCGATGGCTTCTATCTTTAAACGGTACAACGGATCACATATATCTTCATACTTCATTGCCAAGAGGTATTTATTCTCAGTTGAACCCGTCAATCATACACCCTCGGTGTACTAGAAGAGAGAGATTTGTTCTTATCAAGAGCCCATCCTTGGCACATCCACCGCCACGTTTATCATATGAACTTGTTAGTGTGTAAACGTGAAAGGAGCTATCTTGATTTGATTATCAGTCGTGTGCTTGACCTCTCGCTTGATCTTTGGGTTCATGTGAGTTTGTTCTCTGTCCTTTGGCGACTTGGCGATCGTAAAGGCCCTCTGGAATACCACGAGCACTATCTCTTCGGGATCGCCTGGAGAGCACAAATGATTGGTTGTGTTAGCAATCGTGTATGAAGTGCCCGGCCCGAGTGATAGATCATGGGTAAGCCCTTGGTGCCGTTCCACTTTACAAACCCGACACCCCTTTCACGCAACGCACGAGTTTTACAAATGTGCCAATCAACTTACCTCACGGAGTGATCAGAATGATCATTCCAAGTTTTGTTCAGATGTCATCATCAGTGATATTCAGTCCCATTTTTGTCCGCAAACTTCCAATGGACATACAGTATGCAGCAAATCTGTACACTCTACGCGAAAAACTCATATTGCCAAATGTGGTCACTTTTTTGTTCAATCAAAAAAAACAGTTGTAAACAACACCTGAGCTTGCATAACGTGGAGTCGCCAGATCGATATCTCTTCGCCTGTTCTTTGTCTTCACAGCTGCCAAAGTACAACCGAAGGAAAATCAATTTTTGCCTGAGAGAGAGAAAAAACCAGTTGGTGATGAAAGCATACAAAAATACTGATGATTCCCAATTCAAAAAGACCTCATTCATGTTGTCCAATTCAATAAATAAAAAATATGACCGAGATATCGACGATATCATTTGCACACTGGAATGCTTGATCCGGTTAGTTCTAAACAAGGCGGAGAGGGATGTGCTTCAACTGTAATAATATAAAGTAATAACTGGTCTGGTTTCAAAATTCAACATTGCACTTATAGTAGTATCCACTGGTTCCACAAAATGTATTCATCCTGGCAGAACAAATCACCAGTGCGGCAAATCTGTGTATAAGAGTGAAACAATTAATTTGCGTCTCCGTAGACAAATATTCCAAATAAAAAAGGGAGCAAACCTTCAACTTTCTTCTTCTTCTAAAAAATTCAATGCATACTCTCTCTTTCTCCAGCATCATTGATTATTTACCATCTATGGTACTAATGCTCTCACTGTGATACACACACATACATGCACAGGCACCGTCGAAAACAATTGCCGAGTAGAGATCAACATCCACAGGGGGTTCACGAGCCACCCAGTTTGTCACAAAATGCTACCGCATCAGATATAGGCAATCGTGTTTAGAAATCGACCTCTGTTCAGTTGTTGATGCACAGATTTTTCGTTGACACTTTTGACACACACACACACACACAAGGAGAGTCTACTGGCAGACACACAGATACACATCAGGACAAGCATAGACAGAATCACATTTCTTAATGCCTTTGTATACTCTGCTGTGATGAGATGAAGAAGATGGATTGGAAGCTCCACTGAACTGATTGGCATTGTTCTGAGCTCGCTCTCGCTGTTCCAGAGACCGATTTGCGTCAGGAACACACACATACGTGAATTGGCACATCATCCAATCAGCTTGAACGTGAAAATAATGTTGAAATAAATAGCGCATTCTGCGTGCCTCGGTCGCATAGTGCACGCACGAACTAGTTTGTATCCCTCCGACACAGCCGCTTCAATGACGGACCTCGACGATAATCAGCTCACGCATGAACAGTACGAGGAGCTGTGCAAACACTACACGTATCTGAGCGAATCGCACTGTTTGTCCTGGGTCCATTTGCAACCCGCACTGGAGTTGCTCGGGGTCCATTTGGCCGGGCACGAGTTTCGTGAATTGACCGGGACACCGCAACAATGGATTACGGTCGAGGAGTTTGCCGATTTGTATGCACGGGCCAGAGATTTGAAAGACAATACAAAATTGATTCGAAAAGCTCTACTATTGAAATCTGTGAAAGATGTTCGGGTAAGTGGTCCCCAGTTTCTTCTTCTGATCATCACAAGACTATTTGTGAAACACGAAATGGCCAGTTGAGACTAGCAAATTTTCCGGTTGTAGCAACACCTCATTCATTCACTCAACCAACGTATTTGCAATCATTTCGTGGTTTGTGACACAAAGCGTTTGGAGAATTAGTAGTCTGTGTTGTGCACTGTGTATGTAATGGAAAAGAGGGAACTATGAAGAGAATAAATTTCCACAAGAAACTTTTTCTATTCAGTATTATCTTTAATTTTAATTTCGATATTATTGTTATTATTTTTAATTCCCCGTCAGGCATTTACCGAGAATCGTGACAGTGATACTCGGCACTCTGTGAGCAAAGCTGAGGAGCGTGGGTTCACCGTGTGGATCAATCGACGACTAGCAGCCGATTCAGATCTGACACCGGACATTCTTCCAATCGATCCACAAGTTGACGGTCAATTGTACGATCGGTGCAAAAACGGAGTACTTTTATGCAAATTGATCAATGTGGCCAGTCCGAATACAATCGATGAACGAAGTATTAATAAGGGACCGATGCTGAAACATGTGTTCAACGTAAGTATGGGGAATTGACAGTTTAGCGAATATCAATCGGTGTGAGTTCCTGGCGTGGGGATGGACACGACTAAAACAAGTTTCTTTTTAACAAACAAGCTTCTGTTCGGTTCCTTTGGTTCCGTGACCAATATAATCGTATAGATAAGTAAAGTATTTATCATCTTTTTTAGAACGCTGTAAGTTGGACTGTATGAATACAGGATTTTTCAATGTAATGGATGTGTGAATAAACGACAGCCTTATTTGTGTGCATTAGGCATCAGTTGGGATACGGCGAAACCGTTCAAACCTAATTTGTGCAGTGTTGCCATGAATGGCTTCTCTTTCAGATTGTTCATGGAAAAAGGTTGTTTCAACTTTCCAGAGGTTGAACGACTTCGTTGTGTTTTTTTTTTAAACAAAACAGAGTTATACATAAACGAAACAAAAAAGGAATGCACCTGAGATGTTATAAGTTTATTAAAACATCGTAAACCATCCATTTTTAGACAGATAGGAAATGATTAGCAGTGAATGTGTTTGTTATTAAATAGGATATTCACAATGCAAATTTTGTTTTATTTGTCCTTTAGATCAGGCTGTCGTTTTCGAAATCCTTATGATTCAGACTATTTTGTGTGTGTGTGTGTGTGTGTTTTCACCCCCATTTCCATCTGTTTATTTTACTGGATTGGTTGTACTATTTCACTTTGACCATGAAATATCAAACCTTTCCCCATGCAAAAACTTTTGTCATCTAGGTCAATGAGAACCTGACACTGGCTATCAACTCGGCAGCTGCCATCGGTTGTTGTGTGGTCAATATTGGACCGGATGATATTGAGAAGAAAAAACGACACATTGTACTCGGTCTGATTTGGCAATTGATTCGCAAAGGTCTGGTCGATACGATCACACTCAAACATCACAGTGAGCTGATCTGTTTGCTACAGGATGGTGAATCCCCGGAAGATTTGTTGCGTTTGAAACCGGAAGAATTGTTGATTCGTTGGGTCAACTATCACATGATGCGTGCCGGTGTGGGTCGACGTATGACCAACTACAATCGGGATTTGCAAGATTCGGAAATCTACGCGGTTCTGCTGGATCAGATTGCACCCATAGAGAAAAGAAACAAAATGAAAAGTCCCGGTGAAATACTGAGCTCACGCAGTGAACAACAACGTGCGAGCAATGTGTTGGGCAATGCGGAAGTTTTGAATGCACGTTGTTTCCTCGCTCCAGACGATATCTATATGGCAGACGAATCACGCGATCGATTGCACCTGGCTTTCTTGGCAACCTTGTTCAACATGTATCCGGCTCTGGACGCACAGGGGGACTGGGTTATCGAAGGAGAAACTTTGGAAGAACGAACCTATCGAAACTGGATGAACTCTCTCGGTGTGAGACCTTTCGTCAGTTTCCTCGATATTGATTTAAGCAACGGGATTGTGCTTCTCCAACTGATCGATATTATCCAACCCGGAACGGTGGACTGGTCCCAGGTCGTACAGAAATTTGATCCAATGAAACGACTGTTCCAAGAACAGGGCAACTGTAACATGGTGGTTTCATGTGCTCGCAGTATTAATATTCGATTTGTGAATGTGAGCGGTGAGGACATCCGTGAACGACACAAAAAACTCATCTTAGGCGTGTGCTTCCAACTCATGCATGCGTACACGTACAAGTTGTTACATGAAGTAAGTTTCTGTTTTGATTAGAACTACTCTGAACCGATGTCGAAGAATACTAATATATCGATTTAGATTAGATAATCATGTTGTCACTGAGCTTTCGTAGAGTATTTCACAACGAGAGACTTGACCTGGGTGTATGGGATTGTTTGTTTGTTTGTTTGGTTGGCTAGTTGATTGATTGATTGAATAATATGAGCGGGGAATTTTGATAACATGCGGGATTTATTTCGGAAACGTGACCGCAAACTGAATATAACAATACAGTACGAGCACTCAGCTCATATCGCTCTGTAAACCTAATTTGAAAAAAATACAATTATTCATGAAGTTTCCAGCTTTTTACTTCATAATGTGTATAAAGCGTTTTTTTTAAATTTTCACCAGGTTTAAACAAGCATATATTAATTTCACACATACACACAATTCTAGGCGGCTGGCGGTAATCTGATGCCTCGAGATGACAAAGAAGTTTTGGAATGGGCCAATGAAGAGTTGACTGAAGCCAAAGCACGTAACATTACCGGGTTCCGTGATCCAGCATTTGCAACCGGTGTGCCGATTCTACAACTGTTGGAACAAATCAAACCGGGCTCGACCAATCGGGAAGTCTGGGTGGAGAGTACAAACGATGATTTCTCCCTGTGCACTTATGCGATTTCGTGTTGTCGCAAAGCCGGTGCTCGAATCTATGCACTGCCGGAACATTTGCGTGATTTGAACGGGAAAATGATTCAAACTATCCTAGTCTGTTTGCAAGCATTGCATTACAGTATTCGAAGAAAAGCGGAACAGGCACGAACGAAACAGAAGAAAACCAGATTGCCATGGCTCCGAATCGCCACGGCTGATGAATCGGATGGGGAGTCGACAATGGACTAGCTATTTTCTGTATCCCGTATATAATCTAATCAAAACCAGACCCCTTACCCAAAAGTCCAAAGAAATCCTCAAGACCATTGCTTGTCAGTTAGTTTTACTGTCAAGTTTTTCGATTGAATGTACACCCGTCTGTCTGCCACGTTTCCTAATCCCGGGTTGGGAGCGATCTATACATACTTATATTTACATACACGCACAAGCACACACACTCCGGCACACACACACAGCTCCTCTGTACTTCTACTACCGGCTTTGTTTCGCTCTGCTCATCTACCTAACTGCTTCGTGCCATAATTTTATCCAAATATGTGGCACATTTGTGGATTACTGTTGATTTGAAAACAACATAAGAGCTATCAATTTTTATTTTTTGTATTTTTTCACTCCAATCACGGTGACACGGGTTATTCGATCATTGAAAATCTCATGGCTACTCCTCTCCCTCCCCCACCCCGCCAAACACACCCCCGGACAGAAGCGTTTGCAATACTCAATCAAAATCAACTGTTCGCAAATGGTGTGTATTCACCGTTATTCATGGTTGTACTGTGCTTACTATATCAACAGGTATATGCATTAATTGCTGAGCGCTCAGTCCCGCATCTATCCTGTCTGTCTTAAGATAACACCGTTTTTTTCTCCCGCATTCAATGACTGATTCATCGAAAACAAAAGGTGATCTAAACTGTGTCTCGGATATGAGTCACCGGTATGTCAGTCTGATCGAAGGGGCCCCAGGGGTGGGGGTGGGGGTGGAAACAGTACAAGCTAAACGTTTTGGAATGCACACACAGCACAGGTTCGTACAAGTAGTTGTGTTTTGATGCAAAAGAAATTCAACTGATTGCATGAAATTATCTGTATGGTCTCTCTCATAATTTCCGTTTGAAACATCGGCTCAGGGATGAATCATTCATTTAAGAGAATAACTTGGATTTTAGCTTCAGAAATGATAATCAAATCGTGGTAAGACAGTAGTGGATGAAAACAATACTCTACAAGTTCTTGTTATGAGCAATAACTACCGATCCGGATATCTAGGGAGCTCACACACACACACACACACACACACACACACACACACATACTGTGCATCTGATAACACCGAACTACATATAGCTCACACAGAGATGGCTTGTTTGCTGCACAAAGCCAATCGGACATGGTGAAACACAGCTGTATTGATGGGAAAGATGATTTATATTTGACTCGAATTATCACGGACTCATATAGATTATAACTCCGGAATATTATACAACGCACTGCGTGTGTGTGTGATGTTTAAGTCAACTGCTAACACTAGTGATATTGCATGTCAATCAGTGCATATGCGCATGCATGTATGTATGCATACATGAGGAGTAATTTTTATCCCAGCTGGTGGGGACAGTATGGGCTAAGAATGAATCCGATGTCAGTATGGGCATAATATTGCTTGGAAGACGTAAGCAATTGGTACATTTATTTCAGGGTAGAATTGGTCGACACATCTGTTTTCGTTTTTAGTTCATTGATAATATACTGGCCTCGAGTAATAAAAGATTGACCATCTAAATTGATTGAACCATTCGAACAAGGTGATAATGACCGTCGACCGTGTAGTTCAGGGGTATGGGATTTGAAGTTCCGACTCAAATATTCGTGGTTCGAGTCCTGACAGGGACACAAAAAAGTACACACAGCAGTCCAGTGCTTCTCAGCTTTTCAGCTCACGCCACATTTACACGGTGAATTAATTCATCATATAAACAAACACAAAATCCTCCATTACTCTTATACAGACAGAGATTTTCCTCACCCGGTTTGGAACAGCTGTGACCTTAGAGAGAATGCGCATACAAAGTGGGACGCAAACTTGAAGGAAAACATGTTTTTCTAGTGTTAATCCAAGTGGAACTCCATCAACTGAACAGGATTTACACCGATCGAATCTTCTCGATGGTATCAAGTACGGCTTTCACAACCATTAATCATGCATTTTCTTGTGCCGGTATTGGTTGCTGTTTTTTGGCCGCCCATATGGATAAAAGCGAAGGATGAAGATTGGAAAGTCGAAATCCAATTGAAGCAGAAGATAGAGAATATATATATATATATATATATATATTGGTGTTAAGAGAATAATGAGTAGATGCATGAGCGCCACTGTTTGCGACATTCGGCCATATCACTCTGTCTTTAATCATCGGTAACCATCACCTCGGCTTCCCCAGTCAGGGGGCCTAATGGGACCTACTTGACCCAGTCTCCTGGTTAGGGTTTTCATACCCTCATACCAAGTCCTCGTTTGACCACCCTTGACCTTTTTCCAACCGCTACCTGCCTCAGGAAGCATCGCTCGCCGTGGTAATCTATTTGGTGATATGCGTAGCGTAATCTATGGAGGTCAACTACCTGCTCCAGTGGACGCCCGCGATTACCTAAAACTCTACGCCTCACCTCATTATTGTTCGTTCGGTAAGGCTAGTGGTCTTGACCATTTGTATCTTGTTGACTCTCAGAGTACCCTTATGGTCCCTTATGGTCCATTTACCGGATACCTTTAATTCCTTTAAGAGTATCAAGTTTGGATTAGCCCATTCGGTTGTTCAGTGGCACCAGACACTGTTGATACTTTCTGTTGTGGGTTTCACTCCTTGGGAGATCGTTCATACTCCACTAGTTGAATGCATTCAAATGCAACCGTGCAGCTTAGGGACAAGGGTTTGAAGTCCAAAGCCCGAATGTTCGCAGTTCGAGTCCTGACAGGGACAAAAAAAGTACGCACTGCTTACAAGTCCACAAAACAGGACGAAAAAGCTGTCCAGTGCTCTTTGTCGATCATAT